CGACTTTTCAGCTCGAAAAATATTCGGCATTGACCAGTTTTACCGTAAAATCTGGAGCCCAAACATGAAGCCTTTTTAGCAAGGCACGGAGAAGAAATCAGTCGATGCTGAGGGAGCGAAATTGTTTTAACGTTTTTCCCTGACCCGTGGCTTGAGACACTAATAATTTAAAAAAGGGGTAATTTCTTTAAAAAATATTCGTTTAACATACATGAGCAAGTAGCGGCTGTGGGTTGCTGTGTTCATTGTCATAAAACGTTAAGAAAATTGAATCATGAATTCTGGTTTGCGACGGGAGTTAAAAGTACTGACGAGTTTCATTGAGATCGAAAATATAGGTGAAAGGATTATTCATTTGTGACATTCTCACGGCTATGGCGATAAAGCGACACAAAGAGTTATTAAAGTCTTTCCTTGCGTAACAACGGAGCTGTGCTGATTGATCCTCATCTACGCTTTCTCCATTCTGTCTCTTTCCCTGTACTGCTTCTGCTGTTATTGCATCTAGAATTGTTTCTACTTAAAGTTGACTCGTTTTTTTAATTGCTATGCTCGATTGCTTCTCTCCTTTTTCACCGGTCTATGCTCCATTGCTGTAATAATTTGATTGCAGAAATAGTAATAGTGGAACGTAGCGAGGGACACTGTAGGATAAATAGGCAGCGGAAGACATACGCGATCGTGTTTCGTGCCCTAGCAAATCCTTGACATTCCAATTGTTTTCGTTTTTTCAGGCCATCATGAACCGGTGGCATGAGCAAAAGTCTCTGGTTCGTGATTTCCTTCCTATGCATAGCTTTACAACACTTTTACTGTAGGTAAGCGGTTATTCCATCGTAAAAGGAGATATGTACCTTCGAAAGCAAATCTGTCTAACTTGCTCCTCCGTCCTGCAAGCCGGCATCCTGATCAACGATTGCTTCATTTTGGTTTATGCTAACATGTTTGCCTAATGCGACTAAGCTCCTTTTCTTAATCTTTAAATCTACGGATAGTCCCTGTGTCCGGAATTGAATGGAGTCATTCATTACGTAGTCCTGCTTTTCATTCTCATTGTGCATCGAAATCAACATTGTTCAATTGTCATTCTTGTCTCTAATAGCTCGTTGTAATAAATTTTTTATTTGTGTCCCTTATTTATAAATAAACATGATTTATAGGCAACTGATTTTGATTCTCTTCCAGACTGGGTTGTGGATTACGGTATCAGTCACAGCTCGCCATCCTAGTGTAGCTACGTAAACCAAATGTGATCTACGTGAGAGGTGATTTGTCATAATCTTATGCAGATTCATTTGGAACCTTGCTTCATTAAAAAATTGCTTCGTACTCGCGAATATACGTTAAGGCGCTTAGCCAATACGATTCTGCTGTCAAGTATCCGGATTTACACGACATAACGCATCGTTCCATTACTTTTAATGGCATGGGAACCGTTTAAGCAGGCCACGGGTTCATATTATTTTAGAATCTGCAGTGCATATGCGCAAAACAGAACCACTTTATTAGAACAGATAGAAACATGTTTAAACACCAACGAATCTACTTGAGTCCACTTTTTGTCTAACTAATAAGTGGAAAATATTTCTTAAGTTGAATGAAGTATTATCAATTCAGTTTAAACCCACTGCATCCATCTTGCAAGTAGCACTGCATTTATAACAGACTTTTTGCTCAAAGTATAAAGCATAACTAATAATTTGATTAATTCACTAAATTTATTAATTCTAGTATTTCTTTACTTAATTTTCTTAACTATGCATAAAAAGAGAAATAGAAGGCGGCCATTGGATTCCCGTTTCCCCTACCCCACTGTCATGTAGTCGATATGAAACGTCGATCTCTATAATGTCGTCTCTATAATGTCAACCGCAGGGCATTAATGTCTACCATGCCATCATCGGA